AAGAAAAAGTAAGTTTGCAGCCCTCGTGGCTGTGGAGAAAGCTTCAAAATGTGACCCCAGTGCACCCTAAAGGCTCAAAAAGCAGAAGGCAAATAAAAAGTACACAAAATCTATTATTTTTACATAATCTCATGATTTTAAAGCCAATCTCATGATTTTGGTGAGCCTGACTCATGATTTTTGAACATTTGGGGTTGGCAATATTGGCAACCCTTAAATGGGCAGCTGGGATAGACTCTATTGGGAAGCTTTTACCTTAAAAAAAAAGGCCATCCATACTGGGGAAATACTTCCAGTTTCTCCTTACATGACTTTCAAGTGATCTGATAAATCTTTAAATAAAACTGTGACTGGCAGTTTATAAGCTAGCAGCCAATTAAATGAACGATTTGCACACACAGCACTGTTTCTGGGCAACTACAAACATGTTTCTGGATGGATAACAGCTTGCATTTAGTGCTGATTGCTACCCACAGGAAGCAATACAGTACAGGTGGGGTGAGATCAACACTCCAACAAGGTCAGTTTTGGCTGGCTTCATAAAAGAACTGGGTTTTAAGTATGACAAGTGGAGAGTGGACAGGAGCATGGATATATGAAAACTGAGAGGCAGTCCCAAACAGAGGAGGTAGCACGAGAGGTGCGACTCAGAGGACACAAAGGGGCAGTAAGGAGTAAGATGGTTTGGGGAAGGCAATGTGGGCATATATAAACTCAAGCTCTGGGGCCTCCTACTACTTCCTGATGCTTAAGTTGGCTTTTCTAGACAATGATTCTTGCCTGTGGCCAGGGCGGCTTTAGCAGAGGCTTATGGGCTCAGTTGCACACACAGAAACCCCACAGTGGTGGCTTTTGTCCTCCGGGGCTGGGCCTGGTTCCTCACTCTAGGCATTGTGGTTACTGACCACCTGCAGCAGCATCCTCTGCCCCCACACCTCTTCTCAGGGAGTCAGGCCCAGCTCCCCAGGGCAGGAGCCGTTGCTGTGGCATGGGTTAGCTCTCTAGGCACCCGCCCCTTCCCAAGCCCCCGCTCCGCACTGGGCCAGGATTTCAGTTGCGGTACCAGGATACTCCATGTGGTTGGTGCCCCTTCGGTTGGGTGAGGAGGAGGCAAAGTGGCTGAGTACACCCACTGAATTGGGAGGCTCCACCCATCATTGACTATGACTCATGAAACTTGCTGTATCTGGTGAGATACGTTCCTTTGTTTGTCTTTTCTCTTCTTTCTCTGTTTTCTGTCTTCTCTATTTCTTGCTTCCCCATAATCTTTCCTCTTCGCACTGTCCCACTACACTCTCCCATGCTTTGCTATATTACTGAGTCTCCTACTCCTTGCCCGATCTATTTCCTCCTTGGCCACTCTCCTCCCAAGCACTTCTTGCATTAGCTGTTTTGGGCTCTAAATTTTTGCCAGTGACTATTAATTTTGAGTGCCTGACTTGAGAAATCTCATTTTCAGGGGGCAGGTGCTTAACCCTTTTTGCAAATCAGGCTCCCTTAAGGCAGTGGTTCTCTACCTTTCCAGACTACTGTATAGGGTGACCAGATGTCCCGATTTTATAGGGACAGTCCCGATTTTTTGATCTTTTTCTTATATAGGCTCCTATTACCCCCCCACCTCCTGTCCCGATTTTTCACATTTACTGTCTGGTCATCCTACTACTGTACCACTTTCAGGAGTCATATTTATCTTGCATACCCCAAGTTTCACCTCATTTAAAAACTACTTGTTTACAAAGTCAGACATAAAAATACAAAAGTGTCACAGCCACTATTACTGAAAAATTGCTTACTTTCTCATTTTGTCTGTATGAAATTTTAGTTTGTACTGACTTTGCTGGGGCTTTTTATGTAGCCTGTTGTAAAACTAGGCAAATATCTAGGTGAGGTGATGTACCCCCTGGAAGATCTCTCTGTACCCCCAGGGGTACACATACCCCTGCTTGAGAACCACTGTTTTAAGTCATCTAAAGTTGGGAATGTAAAATCAGTCACTTGTGAAAAGTCAGGTCCTGGAGGCTAATGTTGGAAGCATTGTCAATGATAATGTCTTACTGCTAGCTGCTTTCAGTATTGCTTCTTGCATCTAATGTGAGCAGCATTGCTAATGATCTCTTTGTGGACAGTGTGCTGTCCTGGGGAATAAATATCCTATGACATCAGATTGGGTTTGAGTGCCCAGGGCCCAGAAATGCAGTTTGAAATGAACCCTGGATCAGTAGCAAGAAAATACTAATGTTCAGAGTATCATATTGTCTGTGAGAGAGACAACCCCAATAAAGTAGTTTGTTTTGCACAGTTTTGCTGTAAATCTTTATACTCGGGTCCTTATATTCTTTGCATGTAATCTTAAAGAATATGTGTTGGTTTATATAGATCCTGAATCTCTTTTTTATTAAAGGTAATGTAGCATGGCTGAGAATTTCAGAGATGCATAGAACACCTGGAAACCAGTTCTGATTCATTGTAATGGCAACTGAGCATTGAAAATATCATACTAGACTTTTTAGGCAGCTCTTTTTGAGCCACACGCCTCTTGTTGCAAAATGAATTATGTTTGCTTGCCTCGATGGGAAATGGGAATAGTGACTTGTAAGAGTATTTATTTTGATTCCAAAGAGAATGTCCTGAAAATAATCTCTGTGTGGATGGCTAATATGTAGTAGACTCCGTCAGTGATATCTGTTGTATGTTCATGTTTTATTATGAATTCCTCAGTTGTGAATAAACTAAATAATCAGGTTCATAATATTAATTGCTAATTGCTATCTGTGTGTGGGGCCAAACACACTTTAGCAGTTGTTTCATTAGAATACATCATGGTTGGCCTCACTGATAGCCCACCAGGAAGTCCTAGCAGTCTTGTTCCTTTTTAAGAGGGAATATGATATAGAAGAATAAGCACAAAAGTAGGGAGCCTTGAGTTCTGAATCTGGCTTTTCTACTGACTTGCCTAAGGCAAGTCAATTCCCTTTGCTTTAGTTTACTTATCTGTAAAATAAGGGTTATATTTACCTGCTTCCCAAGAATACTGTAAATCAATGTTTACACAGCTATTAAAGTCACTTACCTCTGAGCTGTGGAAGTCAAAGACAAGGGCAGTGGGTTTTGCCAACCACAACTATTGAAAAATCAGCGGTTAGGCCCACCAAAATCACAAAATTAACAAACAAAACCAAAAAAGCTAGTGATTTTTAAAATCCAAAAAACCAAAGTAAGAAATTTTGTTTTCTTTGGCCCCAGTACATAAAGGTATTTTGGCTTCTAATTTCCATTAAAATCAATGGAAGTTAGGAGCCTGAATATCTTTGTGGATCTGGGTATTTTATTTGCATTGTGGGATTTGTGCTTTCAAGGTGCACTTGGGTCATATTTTCTGTCTTTTCTCCATAAGTATGAGGGCTAGAAATTTACTTTTTAGCGAAAGCTGAGATTTTCTTTTCGTCACTTGTCTGTTGGAGCTGGGGCTTTAAGTAAAACATCAAATATCTCAAATATGACTTGCAATCAAATTGGGAGAGCTGGCAACACTGGACCCTTTCTTTTCTCCTATAAAGATTCAGAGCATTCATTTGAATACAAAGTCACTTAAATTTAAGGAAAAAAATAGAATAAGATGTCTGATTCTGCAAACCCTTACTCATTCAAGCACGCCTTACTCACCTGCATAGTCCCATTATGGTCAAAGGGACTTCTTGTGAGAGTGGAGTGGTGCAGGTTTGGGCTCAAGATGTGGATTCTGTTTCCTGTTCAGAACATTAGGGCAGGGATTTTTAAATTTGATTGCTTAAAATTAGGCATCTAAATCTATATTTAGGCTCCTAATAAAGTCACCTAAATAAGGATCAAGGGGGAAAATTGGAAGGTGCCTAAGTGATTTGGGAGTTTGGGTGTCATTTTCAAAAGGAACTTATGGCTATCTTTTCAAAGGTATTTAGTTGCCTAAAGATGCAGAAAGATGCCTAGTAGGATTTTCAAAAACATCTAAATTAGTTAGGTACCTAAAAAGAAGAACAGGAGTACTTGTGGCACCTTAGAGACTAACAAATTTATTAGAGCATAAGCTTTCGTGGACTACAGCCCACTTCTCTCATGAGGTTGATGGATTTCCACTCCATATGGCTAAATGCAGTGCCTTGCATAATGACAGGTTTCAGAGTAGCAGCCGTGTTAGTCTGTATCCGCAAAAAGAAGAACAGGAGTACTTGTGGCACCTTAGAGACTAACAAATTTATTAGAGCATAAGCTTTCGTGGACTACAGCCCAAATCCCACTGTCTCTCTACACCTTCAAGTGCCTAAATATCTTTAAAAAACTGTCCCTAAAGGCTTGTCTGCACACAACAATTAATCTGGAATAAGGTCGGATATTAATTTAAATTAGATTAACGATTCCTGATTAATTCCATGTGTGGACACTCTTATTCTGGAATAAGAGTGACTTATTCCAAATTCGTTTATTTCAGTGGATCAAACTAATCCAAGGAATCCAGTGGAATTAGCTAATTCAGAATAAGACTGTCCACACATTGAGTTAATCAGGAATAGATATTCCAGAATAGCTCCCTGTGCAGAAAAGCCTTAAATTTCACTACTATTCAGTGGTATTTAGGGTAAATTTTTCAAAAGCATATGAATGACACACATGCCTAAGCCCAATTTTCAAAGGCGATATAGGCATCTAAGTGAAAATTTAACCCTAACTTTAGTCAGCCAAGTTTGAAAATGTTGACCTTGCAGTATACACAAGAGTAAGTGTGTGCCACGATTCTTATTTTATTTTATTTCAGTTTTCTGAATAAGTGGAGGAACACCAAGACAGGAGTGACAATATCATCGAGACTGATTTTCAAAAGAGCAGAGCAACCACACAACTTCTGCACAAATCAAAGGGAGCTGCACATGTTCTGCACTTTTGCAAATCAGTGTATCTGTTAGGAACCGATTAATAAGGTTGCCTCTACTGCTTGCCAAACAAAGTCAACACAAATGAAAGATTACCTGAGCCCCATAGACCCGCTGCATTGCTTGAAGCAACTGGTTTGTATAGTCTGTAAGGGTTCCTGCATCTTCTTCAAATACACTAAGCAAGGAGCGAGTCTTTAATAAAAGAAAAAGCAAAAGGTTTTACTCCCAAATGGAAATATTAAAAAAATTTAAACAAACTGTAGCAAAACAAATTAGTCAGCATAATAAGACTTTGAATACACAGTGTACAGCTTCTTTTATCCAACAATGTAAAAACACAACAATTGATCACTATAATGAGATGGTAAACTGATGCACAAATAAGTTTACACTGCAAAGCAATGGCAGAGTCCTCCTGACAACACCTTCTTGCTCTAATTGGTAGACACTCCTTCCAGCATAGTCAGGAATGTAACAAATCCTGAAATTCCTCTTGCTGATTACAGTAATCAAAGCCATGCCAAGGTCTTGTGGTCAAAACACCATCGCTAGTTTTATTTCTCTACTCTTAGAATGAATTAAAAGCACCCCTTGGTAATAAAACAAATTATCTTCCATTATGCCACCTCAGGAGGCTTCTGTGTTGAACAACTTTTAAAAGAATACTGCCAAAACTGGTAATCTTAAAATTAGACCCAACAGCAGTATGTTGGTTTGTGACAACAGTCATACATATACACTTAGTGCTGCGTGTCCGTAAGCATGGTTTCTTCACTCTGCCATTCTGTTTTGTTCTTGTGAGCGGAGGAACAGTAGAGAGGAAAACATAACTTGTGTTATCTTGGAGAAATGCATCCACTTGGCTTGTTTCAGTGGAATTGCCAGGGACAGCAAATTACATTGTTGCAGTGCTACATGCAAAGGAGGAAATCAAGGCCAGGGACTAGTGCTGGGCAAGTGAATTTAATAGATCAGGACAGTACAAGTAAAGGGGAGGTAAAAAGTTGGGCTGGCAGTGTAACTTTGACAGAGTCTCTTTCAGAAAGTCATTCTGCATCTTGGTAATTCAAAGTGTCCTGACTGGTCAATCCAATCTGTTTGATACTAAATGAAAAGGTCTTCCCTATCTGCACAGCTAAATTACTTTGCATTAGTTCCATCTGTCTACCATAAACTCTAGTACTTTAATAACCATATTAGACCTGACATCTAGTCAGTGTTTTATCTGTCCTATCTTAGTCATCTCTAATGTGCCTGAAGTATCTAGATGCTAATTGTGGGAATTTATTTTACAGTCTTAGGAAAGCTATAAGAAGCATCACTATTTGGGAGGATACAACCTTGCTTCTCCAGGACATTTACTTTTCTTTGCAAATCTCCTTGCAAAGATTTTACATTGCTTCTGAGAGATTCAAACCACCTCTGCTGAGATTTTTGGACTAAGACAATGTCTGATTTCATCTGTGTTGAGAAGGTCCTATTTTAGACTCTGCATGGCTGTACTTGCTTACCTTGGGTAAATCACTTAATCTCACAACACCTCAGTTTACTAAGGTTAAATGGGTATATTACTACCTATCTTAGAAACATCGAGGGGGATAATTGATGCTTGGAAAGAACTTTAAGATGGTAGGATAAAAAGGAGCATTAGAAGTGCAAAATATTGTTTTCATTAAAACAACAGCACATACAAATCAAAGAGGGAAAGAATTCAAGATACACCAACAGAAAGCTACATAAGGCCTGATCCTGCAAGCCCTTGGCATGCAGCACTCCCTTTCAATGGGAGCTCCATGTTTTGAGAGTTTCCAGAACAGGGCCCCAGTCTGGATTTTAATAATTGAAACACACACTAATTTGCAAAAATACCTGGATTTGAGTTGTTGCAATCACTGACTATAGTTTTACTAATTTAAAACTTCTATTCTCTATAACCCCATCTTTTCCTTTACCTAACACTGAACATCATTATACTGTGCTGTGACAAAAGACTGATTGACCAGACATAATAAACAAAGGATTGTGGTTACAGGATAAAGCAACAGAATTATGGGAAATGTTAAGCAAGAAAATTCTCAGGCCAAGATTTTCAAAAAATAGATGCCTAAATTAGGCTCCTAAGTATATATTTTTATAATACGGGGCACAGATGGCTGTTAGAAGCCTATATTCTATTGAAATTAGCACAGGCTCCTTGAAAAATCCCAGCTTTACTTATTCAGATGCCTAAATATGGAATCAGCTACTTAATTTTAGATACCCATTTATTTAGTCATTAAATCTTGACCTCAATTAGCACTTTTGTTCAAAAATAGTAAACCTTATAAATGATTCAAATAGTTTGGATGTTAAGGTTCAAAATCTTTATGAGGTTTCTTTTTAAAATCACTATTTGTTAGTTACACTGGTTTAAAACAGATGCATAATTTACTTGTTGCTGTTTTGTCAAATTCTTACATAATAGATAATGGTGCACCAGTGAACCATGGTAATCCAAACATAACCTTTTAACATTTCTCTGGAGGCTTCATTAATCATGTCACCACCACCCTTGCTGCTGGAAACATCCAGTCTTCACATGAGTAACTGTTGAATTCAGCATGGCTACTTGGGTCAGCCTGTCTCCTAATTTGCAGTCAAACACTTTAAATGGAACACATTTAAATGGTGGGGGGGGGTTTTGTATAGTGCTTGGGGACAATGAAGATATAATTACATTACTCTTGGAGAGAAGGTGAGCTTTGCAAACCTTATTAATAAATAACTTATGCCTAATTCTCCACTGCCTGGCACCTTGTTGGAAAAGAATTGTTTTATATTCATTTTGTTCTCCCTTTGCATTTCTGAAAATGACTATACAAGGTACAGACCAAAAGAGGATCAGGCCCACTTTGTTCAGGAGTAAATTACTATACAAGGTGCTAGACAGTAAGCTCTTTGGGGGCAGAGACAGTCTTTTTGTTCTGTGTTGTACAGCATCTAGCAAAATGGGGTCCTGGTCCATGACAGGCTCCTAGGTGTTACCACAACACAAATTAATAATAGACAGTGGAGAATCAGGCCTCTTGCATGCAAAATGTTACTATATTGAAAATGTCATTAATTTTTGTGAATTAAAAATTCATGTGAATGAATGAATTTATGATTTAAAAAATCAGGACCATATGGCAATTATGCAAAAGTGAAATTATTTTTCCAGAAACCTAGATAAAACAACAAATGATGAAGGAATCAAGTGAAAAATGTCCTGCAAAAGTTTAGGTTTATATAGTCTTTACTCTTCCAGTATTTCTACCCATTGTAAAGGAAGGGTTAAGCTCCTTTGTTTCGGGCCATGAAAGACTGGGGAGACTTATAAACCCTAGTCCGTGCTTTCTTTGGTTGCTTTCAGTTTTTGTTAAATTTTTAATCATGTGAGATGGTGTTGATGGAGCAGAAAAATGAGTTTACTTAGTGGCTTTATAAAGTTCTTCAAAATTAATATTTGCATTGAGCCTTGGAGATGTAAACACCATAACTATTAAGTAATATTAATAATAAATCTACTCTAGTTCAGTAAGTTGTGGGGTGCCCCCTGTATCAAAAGGAAGGAGGCTGTGATTCCTCCAAGCACTGATTTTCTTCCTCCTGCTGGTCTAGGACCAGCCAATTTGGGGTGGTAGTAGAATGGGGTCGCAGAGCCTCAGTAGGTCCATCCTGGTGAGACTACTGCTTCTCCTTGCCATGGATCTAGGGCTAGGTCTACACTACCTGCCTGAATCGGCGGGTAGAAATCGACCTCTCGGGGATCGATTTATCATCAATCCCCGAATCGATGCTCTTACTCCACCAGCGGAGGTGGGAGTAAGCGCCGTCGACAGGAAGCCGCAGAGGTCGATTTTGCCGCCGTCCTCACAGCGGGGTAAGTCGGCTGCGATACGTCGAATTCAGCTACGCTATTCACGTAGCTGAATTTGCG